AAAAAAGCTAAAAAAAAAAAAAAAATTTATTACAAAATGAAAAAGCTATACAAATTTTATGAAAAAAAAAAAAATGAATATTATATATTTTTATAAACTCACATATATATACTCTCATTTTATTGATTTACTTTAAAATTACACTCAGTATCTTGAACGTTTTAATCTCATAAGAAAAGCTGAGAGAAATACTTTTTTATTAAAATTTTGTACATTCAAGAAAGAAAAAAAAAGAAAAATGAAAAAAAAAAATATATATCTTAAATGTTCTTTGTTTTTTACCCCCATATCATATTAAAGGTTTTATAATTTACTATTTGCTTTATAATTAATACTACTGTGATCAAATATTATAACTTCCTTTCAAAATTTTTTTCTTTCTTAATATCTTAAAAAAAATTCCTCATTAATAAATATATGAGTACATAGAAGATAAAGAACTAGGACAAAAAAAAAAAAATTTAACAAAATATTTGTTATAATAAAAAAGTGTTATTCCCTTTTCCTTTTATTTGAAAGTATTTGCTTTTTGTATGTATCTCTACTATATCTCTTATATTCACTTAAAAAAAAATAATTTCGAATTACGTAAATAAAAGAGAATATATTTTAATATAAGGCGAATAACAAAAATAGAATAATATGAATTATTATTTAATAAATATATATATATATATTATTTTTATATAAATATATATATACAAAGCATATTTGCTATTTAATATAAAAATTTTCTTTGAAAAAAAAAAAATTTTAATTGCAAAAAAAAAAAAATTTAATGGTGTATTAAAAAAAAATATGAATATGTGATTAAATTATAATTATGAAAATGATTTAATTTGTTCTACTTCATTTTTTTTAATTTTTGCATACCTTAAATTTAATATTTAAAATAAAGAAAATTCAAAAAGTTTATACATATATATATATATTTATGTATCTTATGTGTAAATGTATATAAAAAAAAAAAAAAAATCAGGTGGGTAGTGTAAAAATATTTATTGAACTTAATGGAATTTTTTTAAAGTATTTTAATATATAAGAGAATTAGAATATGTATGAGCATATATCTTATTATTTTTTTTAAATAAATATCCACATATATTCTATGCAGATCCTTTCTTTTTTATGGCTTTTTACTTTTATTAATACAAGATAAAAAATAAATAAAAATAAAAAGTTATTTTTATATCCATGTATTTCTTTTTAATTTTTTTAGTAGAATTGAATATACTAAAAATATTTATACAGTATAAATATGAAATTCGTACTTTTTTATTTTTATAAACAATAGAAATTTTTATTTTAATATATTATTTTATTAGCTCTAAGAGTGCATATTTCTAATTTAATTTGATATATTTTAAGTAAAAATTAATATATAAACAAAAAAAAAAAAATTATATAATTACTTTCCTTTTAGTATTAGAATTAAAATATTTAACTTAGTTTTTATTAGATCTTCAATATTTTTTTTTTCATGAATAGTATAACCTAGTAAATTTAGAAATATATATATGTATATATTTTTCTAATAAGGTAGAAAATCATTCTATTTTTGTTGATCTCATACAAGAACATAATCTTTATTTTTTTTATACAAAGATATGATAAAATTAGGAATTTTTAATTTTGTATTAATAAATGTATTATTTTAAATTATTCCTTCAAAAGATTTTATTAACATTGAAATAAATAAGTAATTTTTTTTTTAAAAAAAAGGTTAAAAAATGATTCACTTGATATTGCAAGTCTTTTCTTTTAATTTTACAAGTGTTTTGTGTTTTTCACTTTTAATTTTTATAATTCTATTTTTAATTTATGGAAAACATAAATATATATATAAATTCATTAATAATAATATATACAAGAAAAAATATAATATAAAATTTTCCAAATATAATGGATATAACTTAAACCAATTAAATAAAAGAGTAAATAATTCAACTCATAATAAAGAAGATGAATATCTATTATATAAAAAGAAATTTCTTTTAAATAGAAAAAATAAATTTTTAAAGAGAATTAAGACGAAATTATTTCATAATAGTTTATCAAAATATAATTTTAAATATAAATTAAACTTCTATGTATGTAATGTAACTAAAAAAAAAAAGACGAAATTAATCCATAGTTTATCGAATGAAAAAAAGAAAAAAAAAAAAATGAATATAAAGTTTAATAATACAAATGAAAATAATACTACACAAGTTACTTTAATAGATGAGAAAAATGCACCTTCTACTATTTTTAATTATGACAAAAACGACGAAATAAAAAATATGCTAGTAGATCTAAAAGAAATTTGTGATAATTTAAAAATTTTTGTTGAGAACAATATTTTAAAAGAGCAGAAAAAAGCTAATTTATTTGTTGCAACAAATATGAAAAATGAAAAGCTTTTAAAGAAAGAGATAAACACATTAAGTAATAATCAAGAATTAAATTGTGAAAATATTAACAATTGTGTACATAAAAAATTAGATAAAGAAAATATGATATTACATAAAAATGAAATAGAATCTTGTATTTGTAATTTATTTAAAATATATAAAGAAATAGAATTATTAAAAGATATAAACACATATACATATGTATGTATGCTTAATGAATACTGTAATTTTCTATTAAAATTTAAAGTATTAGATTATTTAGATATTTGTAGAAATAATAATATAGCTAATGAAGTAAGTACTAATCTTATACAAAAGGTAATTATTTACGTGTGGGGAATTTAAAAGGCAATATATAACGCAAGGAAAATTAAAAAAAAAAAAAAATAGAGATGTTTATATGTTAATTATGTTTTTATGCTAATATTAACTTCTTTTTTTTTCATTAAATAATTAGATCAATTATTAATATTTTTTCTATTTTTTTTTTTTTTGTAATGTTGTAATTGTATATATATATATGTTATTACTTAAATGTTTAAAAAAAAAAAAAAAAATTTAATAATATACATCATTCTTCTAGTTACCTTTTTTTTATTTTAGTATATACATTTACACTATAAAAAAATCTTTTAAATTAAATTCTACAACATACATTGATTTGCTAGGAGATACCTTTCTGATCTGAAAAAAAAAATACATATATATATATATTTATATTTAATAATTTAAAAATTTATATATTTAATATTTAAATTGTTTGATATGTTTAAAATAAAATTATCATAATTTTACTTCAGTGATTTTCATTTCTTTTGGCATATATTGTAGATGTAATAAGATATTTTTTTCTGCATATTCATAAAAAAATTCAGGTTTTGAAAAATAATAACAATGTACAAAAATATTTCTTATTTCTTCATTTTTTTTTTTTTTTAAATTTCTAAAAACATCAAGAAATTCTAATGCTGTTTTTGGTAAATTCATTAATATATGAATATCATTATAAATACTTAAATTTATATCTATTTTAAATAATTCTTGATTTTTAATATCATTTCTATTTTCATCATAGAATTTATGGTATTTTGATTTATTTTCTAATATATTAAATGAATCATCCTTATTTCCTAAATTCATTCTTTTGTTGTTAGTGTATGTATTATTTATATCTAAAGTTCTATTAAAGTCTAAATTTTTATCATTACTTATATGATTATTCATAACATTAGTTTTATTTGTATAATTGCTATTTAATTCATTTTCATGAATAATGCTATTTTGGTGATTATTATTAATATTTTCTTCTATTAAACTTTTGTCAATTAAAATATTTTCATTTTGTTTGATATTAGACAAATTATTTACTTCTATGTTTGTGCTGTTTTTTTTGTCTAAATGACATTTTTTTTTTTTTCTTTCATCAACAATATTTTCAAATTTGTTATTAATAAAATCAATAGATATATTTTTCATGTTTTGCTTATCAATAAACATTGTTAATGTAGACATATTTTTTGACAAAATGTTTAAATTAAATAATTTTTCAAGAAAATTTCTTCCATCTAAATTATAAGTTAGTATATTTTTTTTTTTATTTAAATTTATATTTATATTCATATAATCATATGCGTTCTCATTAATATCGTTTGAAAAACATAAGCAATTTTTTTTACTTAATAATAGACTAAATATTCCAACCCCACCAAAAACATCAATAACAATAGAATTCTTTTCAACTAAATTAAATATTCTATCCCTTTCATTTTTTAATTTAGAATTCCAGTATACTAATTTATAATTTAACTTTACTTTAATATTATTTTCTTTTAATTGTGTAATATAATTTTCTTCACCAGCTAAAAGTTCTATATTAAATGTTCTATGGAGATTATTTAAAATATCTTTTTTATTTATTACAGTTTTAATACTTTTATTTTTATCTAAAATTATTTCACCAATTAATTTTTTACAGTCTTTTAATTTATCACAAAAATTTAAATGTGCTATGTGACCAATTATTTCAAATTTATGAATTATTTCATCTATGGAAGGAAATATTTTTCTCAAAACTTCTGATGTACTCATATTATCATAACCAAAATATAGTGTTACTATTTTTAATTTTATATTTTCATTTTTTATCAATTTAAATAATTCTATTATATACTCTACTTTATTTATATTATGTATATTTTCTATATTTTTTTTGTTAATTATTTCTTCATTACTAAAATTATCAATGCTATTTTCTAAATTATTTGAATCATTTTCATTATCTATAAACATATTTTCTGTAAATATTTTATTTTTATTTTCAAAGGTAGTACATTTCTCATATTTCATTAATACCTCAATTATTTTATTAAAATAATCGTTTAAAGGTATTAATCTAAGATCATCTTCATTATAATTCGATATGTTTTCTTCAAAATTATGTGAATTCGTCTTTTTCTTATCAGTATTATTTATTTGTAAATTCTCATTATTTTTTTCTAAATCTTCTAAATAATTATAAATAAAAGTTAAAATATTCTCATTTTCTTTAAGAAAAAAATTTTTGTACTCCTTAAAGTTTAAAACAGATGGAAATTTATATATATTTAATAACCAAAATTTTGCATATTTATTTTTTAATATTTTATTTACATTATATTTATTTAATAATAAGCAATAAGCGTTTTTTTCATACCTCAACTTTTCTTTTACATCGTTTAAATTCTTTATATTTAAGGAACTCATGTTTTGAAAACTATAAATATTTTTATTTGTTTTTATTAAAAAGGCATACTCAAAATTTAAAAAGTACAACAAAAATAAAATTTGAAATAACATTAAACATATTTTGAAACTTATATAAATTAAATTAACAATTGTATAATAATAAAAAAAAAAAAAAAAAGTTGTAATCAATATTCACAAAAAACAACAATAAAACAAATAATATATATTTATATATATATATATATATAAGTCAATACATATAGAAAAAACTAATACAAAAATTATTGATTTGAAATAGGAGAATAAAACTATAACTGAAACGTAATAGTATATATAAAATTTATTGAATCATATTTTCATCTTTATCATATAAAAATTAAAATGTAGAATGACGAACATAAGAATAAAATTTATATTAGTTAATATTTAATTACGAAAAATTGTTTTAAATTAATGGAGGTATATATAAATTTATTTTAATTTTTATATTAAAAAAAATTAAAATTTTCAAAATATTTATTAATATTTAAAATTATTTTAAAATATTTTTATTTAAATATTCCTTTGAGTTTAATTATTATATATATTTTACTTCATAAATTAAGATGAAAATTTTAATTATTTTAAAAAGAGATTTTTGTATTACTTTTAATAAATTTATATATTGAAATTTTTATATTTTTAATAATCCCATACTAACATTTTCTTTTTTATAATATTAGGATATTTTTATATAGATGTTTTATACTATTTTAAATATGTATCATATAAAAATTTATATTTAATTTATTATTTATTTAATAAAAAATATAATGAAAATTATTTCATAGTAGAATAATTTTTATAAAAAATATTATTTATAAAAGATTTTGATTTCTTAAAGATATAAAAAGTTACACATGTAGATATTCATAACATACAAATGTAAACAAATATTTTTATGCAATACATATATGCATTTAAAAGTAAAAAAAAAAAAAATTTTTTTTTAAATATTTTTATTGTATTTATTTAATTAAATTTTATTAAAATAAATTGAGGATAAGTTAAATTAAATTTTTCAATATATAATCAGAATTATTTAATTAAAAAAATATAATTAAACTGATGAACCATGACAAAAGAGATAATTTTAAAAAGTTAATGTTTTAAATGTATACTAAAAGAATAAGGTGTAATAAGATTCATTATTATATAATAAATTTTTATTTTATTATAAGTGGTATATATAAAATAAAGGATATAGAAATATTTTTACATAATATATATGAAAATAAATGTATAATAACACATTTAATTAATGACATAATTTTTTCATATAAATATAAAAAGAATAGTTTACAGTTTGATAATGTAGTTTTCTGTTTCAAAATTAGCTTTTTTTCTTTTATATTAATAAGAATTAAAGTCATATGCAAAAATTTTAAATATGAAAAAATATGGTTATTGTTTTTCTATCAAGTATACATAACTAAAGAAGTTATAATATTTTATTTTATCACTTTCAATTTTTAATTATATTTCTTATTTTATACAAATAATTTCTGCATATTAAGTGCACCCCAATATATGAAAAACATATATTTATATTTATCGTATTATTTATTAATTTATAGAAATGGAACTCAAAACTCAATTGAGAAGATATATAAAGAGAAAATATAAGTATATTTAGAGAATAAACTAAATTGAAAATTAAATAAAATTTAATAGGTATTAAAAAAAGAATCTACAATTCTCTTAAATCATATTTATATGTTTTTTTTTTTTTTCTATAGTATTATTTTATGCAGAAAATATAATGAAAAACACACTATAACATTTACATTATGTAAATTTTCAACTAATTATAAGAGTATTGTACAATTTTTTTTTAAAATATTTTCGTTTTTATATAAAGTGCTTTATGAAATTTTCTTCTATTTGAAATATATATGTATCATCATATTCCCTTTTAGTTCTCATTTGTTAAATATTAATTCTACTTTATTATTGAAATTTTAAAAATAATAAATATGTATATTTATATTTTAAAGAATTATATATTTCCTTGTAGAATAAAAATATTAAATTATTTCTCATCTATAATTTTGTAGCACTACTATAGCATATTTAATTTTTTAAAAAATACAACATACTTTATTGTTAATTCATAAATTTAGTTTTCATAAAATCTTAAACTTTTATAAAAACATTATTCTTTAAATTATTATTTATCAACTATTATTTTTATGTATGTTTTAGTATTTTTTAAACATTTTTTTTTTTTTTTTTTACTAAAATCATAAATATATACGTACACACACAAACTCATGTGAAATAGGAAAAAAAAAAAAAAAAATAAAAATAAATAAATATAATTAAATTTAAAATAATAATAGAATTTTATAATTATATAATTTATATAAATAAGTTTATGAAAAATATCTGTAATAAATAAAAGGAAGAAAAACCTTAGGTCAGGAAACGGTATTGTTAGACTATTAAATTTTTAATATTTTTTATTAATTTTAATTTTTAGTTTTTTTTTTTTTTTTTTTTTTTTTTTATGTACTAATAATATAACAAGTGCACAAACCGAAAATAATTTAAATATGTATTCATTTATTATATATATATATATATATACATACATATATATATATATATATATACTTATTTATATTTATATATAGATATACATATTATTTTTTGTTATAAAATTTGTCTAATATTTATATTGAAATATTCTATATTATTGTTGAAATATAAGAATTTTTTTAGAACAACTAAAATATAAAAATATTTTGTCCTTTAATTATTTATATATATATATATTGAGTATTATTTTATATGCTTTATTTAAATAATAATAATTCTTTTTGTAGTTGTTAAAATATTTTTTAATTGTTAAAAATATTTCTGGTTGTAATATTTTTTTTTTTTTGTATTTTTTTAATAAAATTAGTTTGTTTATATCTTTCTAGAATCATATATATTATTTTTATTTTCTTAAAATTATTTGATAAAGTACAGTGAAAATGTCAAACGCTGGAACCACAGATTTAAGTTGGTTACCTTCAGATGCAGATGGTTAATTATTTTCATTCATTTTTATAATTATAAAAAAAAAATTAACATAATTTTTTATTAAAGAAAATTTATTTATTTACTTTTTTTTTTTATTATTTTTTTATTTTATATATTAACATATTATTTATAAGATAATAGATTACATAAGTAAATTTTGTTTATAAATTTAATTTTTTTTTTTTTTTTTTTTTTTTTTTTTAGAACAGTTAGCATTAGGTTTTAAGATAGTAACAAATGCTTATAAAACAAGAGTTAATTCACAAGAGGCAGAAATACGATCTTTAAAAGGACAATTAACAGAAAAACATGATCAGGTTATATCTACTTTCATTTTATTATTACCATTTTTAATTACACATTATTAAACTTTGATTTATATTTTAAAGTTTTTATAATTTTTTTTCTATTAATAATTGTATGGTTGTCTTTATATTTTTTTTAGTTATCATCAATTCAAAAAAAATACAGTAATCTTGAAGTTCAATTAATAGAAGCAACACAAAGAGGAAATCAATTAGCTGATGAAAATAAACAGTTAATAAATACCATTAAAAAAGTAAAAGCTTAAAAAATTCTTAAGATAAAAAATTAAATATATTTAAATAGTTATACATTCAAAAATATATAAAAAAAAAAAAATATATTAAATAATTGTAAATATAAAAATATGAGTTATTAAAATATTAATATATAAATTACACAAAAAAGAATTTATAAAAGAATAATGTAAATTTATAAAATTTTTTTCCTTTTATTAATGTCTTATGAATAATTCTAAGAAGATAATAAATTAACAAATAATATTAATCTAGCTTATATAAAATTGTTTCATATTTGTTTTTTATATTTTTAGTTGAATAGAGATATTGATAGACTAGAAAATCTGAAGAAAGCAGTTCTTAATTCTATTCAAGAAGAACATGAAGTAGAAGATGCACATAAAGTAATATAAAACAAGTATACATTTATCATATTCATTTTTTTTTTTTTTTTTTTTTTTTCATATAATAATGAGAGATAAATATATATATATTTTTAGTCTCTTAATTTTAAGTTTTGCTATTTTTCTCCATATATATATTTTGCACATATATATAAAATTAAAATTTAAATGATAAAGTTATATATAAAATAATTAATAGTTATTAAAACAATTTAATAATATAAAAAAAAAAAAAAAAAAAAAAAATATTCTTTCCTCAAAATTATTAAAAAATTATATATAAAATATTATAAAGAATTAAAAAAATTTTATGCATTATTATATATATATATATATAAATATATATATATGTGTATGTTATATTAAGAAAAATTTCTATTGTATTTATAAAATATATATTTATTTCATTTTTATAAAAATTAATTAAAATAGGACCTTATATATATTTTATATTAATTTTTTATTTTTAATTTTTTTTTTTTTTAGTATTATTCTGCTGATGATATGTTACAAACAACAGCACCGAGAACTATGTTAGAAATTAACGGAAACGAAGATGCTTGCCAAAGTATTATAAATAAAATAGTTAATTCTGATACACAAAATATTATAAATGGAAGTTTTAATACACCTTATTTGGGAAATGTGTAATTTTAAAAGAAGAAATAATAATTACGTTTTTTTTCTTTTTTTTTTTGCTTTTTCTTAATATAATTTTTTAAAAATATAAATTACGTATGAATATCATATTTTTTTTTTTTTTTTTTTTTTTTAATTAACATTTTAAAAAAGAAAAAAAGTGAAACATCATTGTTTTATATAATGTCAACATTTTTATATGTCCTTTTTTTCTTTATAAAACTTTAATTTCGTTTAATATTTTTTAAATAGATCTTTAAATGAAAAAAATACAGATGGTAGAGCTTTTTTTCGTAATGCTAGGAGTCGTTTAACTTATGAACAATTTAATCAATTTTTAAGCAATATAAAAAAACTTAATAATCATCAACAAAAGAGAGAAGAAACATTAAAAAAGGCTCAAGTAATATTTGGTGAAAGTAATTCAGATTTATATGAAGAATTTAAAGTACTTATATCAAAACATTCTTAAAATGTAAATACTTGTATGATTTTTAATATGTTAGAATGAAATTATTTTCATTTTTTACTTTTTTTTTTTTTTTTTTTTTTTTTTTTTTTTTTTTTTTTTATATATATATATATATACATATATATATATTTTATTTATTAATTGATTTTTTCACGTATCATTAATTTGAACTTTGAAATTTTCTAATTTTTACAAAATTATTATATTCAAAAAAAAATTATACAAAAAAAAAATAAGAAATTATTTATATTAGACAGATCATTTTATTTTTACTTTATAAATATATTTTTATAATTTTCAATATAGAATTAATAAATGTTTAAATTATTAAAAATTATCAAGTTTAATTTTTTTTTTTTTTTTAATAGTTATAATAATGAAAAATACAATTAAAATAGGTATAGGCTTATGAAAACCAACCTTTATAAAATATATATTTATAACATATGTAAGTATATATATTGAAAAATAACATACATAAATGAAATTTCAAAAATATTCTATTTACATATATATATTATATATATGTGTTATTTAATATTTTAAAAATAATAAAATTATAATAATATTAAATTTAAGATGATATTAAAAAAATTACAAAAAATAATTAAAAAAGAAAATTTATAATTTTAAAATATAAGTATATATACCATTTGTAATATATATAAAAATTATAAAAAAAAAAAAAAAGAAAAAATTATTTTTTTCTTAATATTCTACTTAAGACACCTTTGTCTCCAGGATTTTTTTTTTTTGGTGTAATTTCACATATCTCTTTTTTTTGAATAGTTGGATTTATTTTATATTGTTCCATCTCTTTGTTTAAAAAATTAGATCTATCAATATAATTTTTTTCGTTTTGTTGATTGTTATCATTTTGTATATAATTTCTTTTTATCTCATTGTTATACTCATTTTTTTGACTTACTTTGTTACAAGGATATTGAAAATTTTCAATATGACTTTCAATTTGTTCATTTGGAGAAAAGTCAATTACATTAACAATTTTTTCTAAATCATGAGAATGTGGAAATAACTTATGTTTTTCAGAATTTGTATTTTTAAATTCATTTTTACTATTTAAAATATTATTTGAAACATTACTTTGATAATATTTATCATTTTCAATTTTATCTTTGTTGATTTCCTCAACTAAAGCAAATTCACTTTTAAAAATTTGCTTTGATATATTATTTCCTTCTTTAAAGACCACATCATTATTCTCGACCACGTTATTTATTTTATCTTTTTCTAACTTTGATGTATTTTCATAATTAAAAAATTCCTCTAACTTAGAGTTTTCTGCATCGTTATTAAGTAAAATGCTGGCGTTTTTTTTAGGTGCTTCAATGACATTTTTAGATGTTTGAAAAAAATTTAAATCCTTATTATCATAATCTTGTCTTAAAGATTTATATATATCATTAATGCTTTTATTTATACTTATATCATTGTAATGATTCATTTTATTAGTAGTATAAAGTGTTCCATCTCTTAAATCATTATTATCATTTTCTATGTTTTGAAAATTATCTGTTTCAATTTCATTATGTTTTTCTTCATTTTTTTTGTAATTAATTAGATTATTCTCTTTATTTAAAAGATCAGATAATAATATATTTTTTTTATTTTTTATAATTTTATTTCCATTTTCATATTCATTACTCTTCTTTTTTAAAGTTACATGCATATATTTTTCTTTATTTTTTTTATAGGTTTCATAAGTCATTAAAATTTCATTTTCCTGATTCTCCAAAGCTTGACTTTTTTCTTCTTCTTTATTTATATTATCATTCAAATTATTTTCATGATTATCACTATTGTTTCTATTATAACCATTCTTATTTTCTAAATCTAAAAATTGTTTTTCTTTTTTAAGATTTACATCTTTTTTGTTTGTATTTCCTAAATCTTCATTGAATACTTCATCAATATTCTTTGTAAGTTTTCCAAAGTTACCTAATTCACATTTTTCACGATCGTTATTAATACTTTTATTGTTAGCATTATTAATAATATACTCATTTTCTCCCCCTTGATATTTATTGTTATAATTTAATTTAATATCTTCATGATCTTCTTGTTTATTCATGTTTTCTATTTCATTCCTATTTTTATATAAGTTCTCACTTATATCATTTTCTAAGTTTTCCTTTTTTTTATCATTATTATTAATAAATATTCCACTATCATTTAAATTATTTATAAATGTGTTAGATAAATCTAACGAGTATTCATTTTGATCATTATTATATATATTCGATTCTTTCCAATTTTGCATAAATATAGAATATAAATCTTCTTCTTTAATTTTTTCTATTTCTTTTTCTTCTTTGGTTATATTATTTATTATTTTCTTATAATTGTTTTCATCAAAATTTAAAATATCATTCTTTATTTGATTTGATATACTTTTTTTTTCTTCTTTTTTTTCTTCTTTTTTTTCTTCTTTTTTTTCCATTTTTTTTTTTTCTTTCTCTTTCATTTTTTTTTTTTTATATTCTTCTTCATTTTTATTGTTAATATTATTTTTCTTACTTATTAAATTTAAATTATCTTTCTTTCTTTTGATTCTTATATCGGCTGAATTATCACTATAACATGAGGAGTATAATTTATAATTTCTATATAAATTATCATGATCATTTCTATAATAATCTCTAGGGTTATTATTAAAAATTGTATCGTAAACTTTTTTATTTTGATTGTAATGATATTTATTTTTATGATTAACTAAAGAAATTTTGTCCATTTTTCTTCTTTCATTTTGATCATATATTCTACTTGAGTAATTTAAATAATTTTCTTGATAAATCTTATCATTTAAATGGTAATCATTATTATAATCAAATTTTTCATATGGATTTTTATTTTTGTTATTTCTTAAATATCTTTTAGAAATAATTTCATAAATATCTTCCTGATTATTGTATAAATTTTGTTCATTATTTTCATTTAAATTATTAAAATTGTATTTTCCTATATCCTTATTTTTATTGTAATAATTTGAGTTAAATTTTTGTATATCATTAAATTGAAGAATTGTATTTTTTAATTTGATATTTTCTGATAATAAAAAACTGTTTTTTTCTCTTTCTTTTTCATACATAATATTTAATTCATATAATTTATTATTTAATTCTTTCTCAACTGATAAAGTGAAATCTAATTTTTTTTTTAAATCATCATTTAATTCATTATACTCCTTATTTTTTTTTATTAAATGCTTATTATTTAATTCATGATTTTCTATTAAATAGTTAAGTTCATTTATTTCCTTTATATATTTTTTTTCTTTCTCTTCATAAAAAATTTCCTTTTTTTCTAATTCATTTTTTTGGTTATTTTGTATTTGTTCAATTTCCTCTTCCTATATTAGAAAATATATGTATATATATATATGTGTGTAAATGCATAAATATGTATAATAAAAATGTTTTATTCTTATATAAAATAGTTAATTCTTTTTTTCTATCTTCCTATTATTACCTTATTAGTAAGAAGAAATTTTAAAGTTTTATTTTTTTTTTCTTCTTCCGAATACTTTTTTTTATATTTTTTTAATTTTTTATTTAGTTTTATGTTGGTTTTTTGTAAAAATTTTATTTTATTAGTGTAATCTTCATTTATGTTTTTTATATAATTCGAATTTCCCTTTTCCTTAAAATCAGAACTATTTGAATTAACTTCATTTTCATTTAATATACTTCTTTTCATTATCATTTGATTAGGATTTTTTTGTTTGTTTTTTTTTTTTTTAAGTTTATTTATTTTTTTTTTGCTTAAAAAATTATTTTTATTCATATGTGTTATATCAGAATAGCATAACTCATTAGATATATATATACTAGAATTTTCTGAATTTACACTTTTTTCTGATAAATTTTTTTTTGAAGAATCCATTGAGAAAGATGATAAATAGTTTTCTTTATTTTCTTTTCTTATTTTTTTTAATTTATTACTATTACCATCAAAATTGTTGTTACTAGTAAGATTATCTTTTTTTTTTTTTTTATCTATTTTTTTTTTCTCTAGTTGCAAATGCTTTAATCTATTGATTAAAAATTGTAATTTATCATTTTTCTCACAAAATAAAGAATAAATTTTAAATAACAATTGAAAAACAAAATCAGTGAAATTCAAGAAGTTATTTTGAATATTTATTTTAAATTTGGACATTCTTAATTCTTCGTCATTTTTCATTCTATAGATATTATCTTCATATTTCTTTATTATATCACTAAGAACTTTCTTATCTTCATTTAAATTATTTATAATCATGTTTTTTTCATTTATTTTTTCTTTTAAAAATAAATTTGCTTTTAAAAAATCTTGCTTTAATTTTTGTAAAAAATTTGTCATATATATTTCATTTGTTTGTTTTTCTATTTTTAACTTTAGTATATCTTTAAATACATTATTAATACTATTAAAAGAATGAAGTTCATCACTACATTTGCTACATAAAATTTTTTTAGTTTTACTTATAAAAATTTCTTGTATAGTTAATATAAACATCAATCCCTTTTTACTAACAGATTCAAAAATATTTTTATTCTCATTCTCAATTTCATTTTTAAAATTATTTATGACATTAATAAAAGAAAATGTATTTTTATCTTCATTACTCATATTACATAAATTCGAATTGGAATTATTTGATTTATAAGATTCTAACTCACTGAAACTATTTACTATTTTTGTAAATTCTTTATTTCCAATGTTGTGTGTATCTCTATGGTAAAGTTTTGTTATATCATTTTTGTTAGTTAATAAATCTATATCTAAAATAAGATTAGAGGCATTCGTGTTGTTCATATTATTTACATTTTCCTTATTTTTTAAAACACTTACATTTAGTGGTATTTTGTTTTTATTTGATGTATTAAAATAGTTATCAGTGGAGCTATTTTTCCTATTTAAGTGTTCATCATTATTGTTATCATAATCAATGTTATTACCATTGTTAATATTACTAATATTATTATAAATATCCTTCTTATTATTTTCATTGGTGTTAGTAGTAGAAGAATCAGCGCTATGATTTATAAATGTATCTAACTTTTCGTTTATTAAACTAGTGTTGGTATTATATATATCTATAGAATTTTTCCTATATCCTTTTTCTTGATCTAATTTAATATTTATTATTTCATTTTCTTCTTTATATGAACTTATTGAACTATTATTTGTATTGTAATTTTTCTTTTTATCATCTGCTAAATGAAATAGATAATTAGTGTTTTTTTTATTATGTATGTTACTACTTTCATCGTTTTCATTATCATTATTTTTACTATTACTATTTACCAAAGCATATATTTCTAAGATATCATTTTCTTTCTCTTTTTTATCATCCACATTAATGAAATTATCTACATTTATTTCTTCATTTGCTTTTAAGTCTTGTTTTATTTCTTTATTTTTTCTATCTGTTAAGCAATCATATAAATCATCTTTATCATCTTTATTCATTAGTAACAGAAATTAATTTCATTGTATAATTTTCAATTTTAAGAAATGTAATATTTTATTACAAAAAAAAAATAAAAAAAAATTAGGTATAAATAAATGTATTAAATTGATAAAAAAAAAAAAAATAATAAATTTATATGATTTTAATGTTAAAAAAAAAAAAAAAAGATAAATATATCTTTTTTGGTAGGAGACTCAAATTTAAAAAAAAAAAAAAAATATGAAATAGACAGATAAAAACTTATTTTTAAAATAATTATTAATAGATTAATTAATTCAATTAATATTTTTTAAAAAACATATGTATCTACATATAATTGTAGAATTATATAAAAAAAAAAAAAAAATTCAATTTGAATTTTTATTTTTTTTTTTTTTTTAAATAGCTTTTCAAAAATTTTTTATGAACAGAAATGAAAAAAAAAAAAAAAAAAAAAA